AGCCATGAAATACTCACGGGTTCCTGTGGGGGCTGTTTCTTTTACCTTTCTTCTGAGCAAGCTCTTTGACAGGCAGGACTTCACTGAAAAACGTTGCTCTGTGACCCTCAGACTTGTTTATCAGAAATGCTGATTAATCGGCCGTTGCCCCTGTGTGAACAGGCTTTTCATACACTGCATTTTAATCTACTTTTTCTAATTAATACTCACTTCAGATGGCATCTGTTTGGGCAGATTTTTGGATTACAGCCTGGCACAAGGGGGTATGGGCCAGGGGAGGAGCTTGTAAGAACAACCCTCATCTGCTCCCCCAGGACATTTCAGCCCTCTGGAGAAGAGCAGTCAACCAGTGCTGCCAGAGCTACAGCCCCTCCAGCCCCTGCTGTCCTCAGGGGCCAAGAGAGGAGTTTGATGAGAACAACTAGCCCTGCTTTGTTGCTGGAGAAGCAGCTTTGCATTCTCTTATTCATTGTGGGGAATAATACATCTATTTTATCTCCCCCCCTGCCTTTTAACAACAGCAAGCTGGACTGGAGAATGGGTCTTCAGGAGGCACGTTAAGAGTTGCACTTAAAACACAGAAACATGGCTATGAGGCTCTAATTCCTTATCCACTGATGACTTCATCAACTCTATGACCTGGAGATCAAAATCTTGTGTAGCTGGTAGCGTAAGTGTCACTCACAGTGGGGTTTCTCTTCATCTGCCTGCACTCAGGAGATGAGTCTCCCTCTCCCCAGCTTGCTCTTCTGCTCTCTTTGCAATCCATAGCAGTTGTTCATTTGTGACATAGCTGTTATCTCTGATTAAATCCCCCAAACTTTGGTTAAAAACTACAGAACTCTTATTTTTCCCTCTTCTAAGACTACAAACTCATATTCATTGTTTTGGAATGAGTATTCGTGGTGCAGCTTCCAGGTGGAAAAGCTCATCCAGCCATTGGCTTACCCTAATGAGCTAATTATAGCAGGTGGCATCTGGGATGAGGGATGCTCCACATACCCAGTAGGTGCTGGGTGTCTTTCATTCTGTTGGTTACCAGGTGCACCACAGCATGGATACAACCCACACTGCACAAGCTGACAGCACCCCGTCCCGCTTGATGCTGCGGCAAGAGTTACAGGGGGGAATGCTCTCAGGAAACCTCCAGTCTCATACCAAAAGGAAACGGTCCTTTTTCCTACTTTTGGGCAGCCAAGAAATTCCTGGTTTGGGGTCCATACACACACCTGCTTCTCAAGGACAAACAAACATGTAGCATTGTACTATGCCTTCCTTGAGAGTAAATACAGCAATAGCCCTGCCTACAAACTGGGAAAGGATTATCCTTTGCACTGAAATCCTTCTAAATTCTAATGTTATTAGAAATCCAGGTTTCCAGAAACATAAAACACACCACCCAGACAACACTGTTGGCCTAACGTGGAGGTGCCCAGCTGCAGAGGGGTGTCTAATGTTACCAGAGGACAGAGAAGACCGGCACTAACCTACTGAGAAGACAGCCAGGAGAATGACCATCAGGGGTGTCAGCTGGCAGGAGTCCCCAGCCTTGTAGAGGAAGACCTCCATGCAGTAGGTTGGCTCGGTGCTGCCCGCGGGGCAGAAGGCATCGGGAGGGCACTTCACCGGGGTCACGTCTGGGCTCTGCCCAAGAGAAAAAGCAACTCGCTCAGCGCCAGCAAAAGGGGGAGACTGCAGAAGGTAACGAGCGTGAAGGCAGGTGATGCTGCAGCATTGAAGAAAACAGAGGCAAAATAACCAAGAAATGAACCTGCCATCATTAAATACAGCCCGTCTGCCCCCGTGGTGTTACTCGGAGTAGGGTGAAGAGCTGGAAGTTGTCATTATACAGCATGTCCATACATTAAACCTCCTTGTTAATGGATACACCATTCTCTGACATTCCCCTAATGGCCCAATGAGACCGGGCAGCTCTAAGGGTGGCACAGAGACAGACTCCTGGTGTCATAATTTTAATTATCTCCCTCCATCAGGGCTCTGTCTATGCTTAAGAAAAGGAAATAGGCTCAGATAAAAATGGTGTTAATTGAAATGTATTTAGCTTGTCACGGGACAGCTATATTTGTTAATCCAGGCTGTCAAAACAGCTGATGGAGACTCACAGGGCAGTAGTGATTTTCTGGGCACAGGTCACAGCTCTCCTTGCCCCACTGTAATTGGTAGTCTCCTGTCCTGCAAAGCTTGCATTTGCTGTCACTGGGACCTTTGAACATACCTAAAATAGCAGATAAGCACAAAATTAAGATCTGGGACCAGACCCCAGGGTCTTCACAATTGCAGATGGATGATTCAGCTTCCACAGCCACAAGGAGAAATGCCATTAAATACTTCATATACATAACAAAAGCTGAGCCTCGACTTTGGTCCTTGCTGGGTGGCAAAGGGGCAGGAAAGAGAACAAACAGGGACAGAGGGACTAAAGGACATCTGGGGTTAGATCTGGCAAACTGAGTAAGTGTGAGTAGGAGTATAGTGGGAGATGGGTTTAGTAGAGAGCTCTGGCTGTAAAGCAGAGGGAAGGTTGGAGCGGGAGGTCAGCAGCGTTTCATCCTCTCTAATTCTGGATTCAAACACCTTTTCCAGCTGTTTGAAACTTGCTGAGTGAAGTTCAAAGCACGACTGAGTTACCTGTGCTTTGTGGGAGTGATGGGTCGCAGAAGTCCCGGGTAAGTCCCACTTACCCAACGTGGTAAATGCTTTACTGCACGTTTAAAGTGCAGCTCGACTACTAGAAACCCCATCAGTGGTTGCGGGGGCGGCTGGAGCGCTCTGCCCTCCCCTGACTCACCCGCTGCAGTTTGGTGTTATTTAGGACATCGATGGAAGGAGCAGAGTCATCTCCTCACTCCCCCTCACTGACCATCCCCTTTGCCACTGCTGCTTCCCAACCTCAGGCAACCCCCCGTCCCCAGGGTCCGCTTGGGCAAGGGAGACGTGTCTCAGGAAGAAACCCTTCCTTCTGGCACTGAAGCTGCCCGTTCCCAGCCAGGCTGTGGCAGCCCCCACCCTCCGCTGCAGAAGGTACCTGGTTGGCAGGGTACGCACTCCTCCGATGCCTCCTGAAGAGCCTCTTGCCCACCGGGGCACGGCAGACACCCCCTGCAGCTGGTGGTGCTGGGGAAGGGAGAGGAGACAGACCACGCTGTAGGACAAGCACTTCCAAGACCAACCCAGCCCACCAAAGCCAGCTCTCTTACATATGCACACACTGAAGTCCCCAAGGTCTACCAGGAGCTAAGCTTCTGCCGTTTTGTGGGCATTCATGGTGTCTCTCTATAGCTTCTCCCATGTCTAATGAGGGCTGGGCACAGGATGGCATTTCTGTCCTCTCTTTGGGTACTTACTTGCATGAAACCTGTAGGAACTTGCTACCCAGAAGCCACTATTCCTTAATGAGCTTGGCTGGAACCGGTCAACAGGTAGTGAAGGGAGTTGGGAGAGAGCTGGGAGATACAGCCAGTAAGCTGGATCTGGTCTGGTGGCAATTTAATCGAACAATCAGCAGAGATCTGCCACGTAGCATGGACACAAGAGGCCAGAAGGAAGGTGAGTGTTCACATGCCAATTCAGCTGCTTTGGATATAAACCCCACAACTTCTGTGTGGGCATCCCCACACAGTGGGGTGTGGAGCCCATCACAAGGTACCCCACCAGCACCTCTCCCAGGCCCCCTCTCCCACCCCAAAGATGATGGCACAGCTGGGGTAGTTTAGCTGCTGCCTTCCACACATCCCGGCTCAGGATAAGCCAACCATCAGCTCAGCTTAAATCTACAAACCCCAGAGTGACGCTCAGCTCCATCCCTGTGCCAGTACCAGCCAGTTTATCAGCGGCATCCAATGCCCACACAACGCAGCAACGTTGGCAAGAGGGGATGGTGGAGGTGGGCTGCAAGCTGATGAGGCTCTACCGTCTCATCCCAGGGTATCTCCACATCCAGCCAGGATCCTCCCCTCCATTTTACCATCCCTCTCTCACCCGGGAGGGCTCCCTTACAGCTCCCTCAGCTGAAAATGGCAGGTGACTTGCCTTTGGCCACTACATTGGGTCTTTTATCTCAGTGGTTGCTACCAGAAATAAACCAACCCTCCCTGCCTCCCTCACCCCCTGACAGCCAAGGTCACACGAGGACTTCTTACTTGCAAAATGATCCAGACGGGCAAGGCAGACAAAAAGATGCATTTTGCTTGGAGCTAAAATACCCTGAAAAAGAGAAGAGTAAGGCTTCAGGATCTTTCCTCCACCGTCACTGCCCCACATGGCTGGATATTTGTTCATCTCTATTTTACAAGCAGCCAAATCAACTCCCCACAACACACTTCAAGTGGCATCTCATGGGCTAATTCAGGATGCTTGGGCTTTTTATTTGTCAAAAGCCCTGAAAGAGCAATCAAAGTTTCATAATGACCTCTGCCGTGCTCTGAGGGAAGCACGGGGAGCTTGGACAGATTTCCCTGGTGTCACTCGCATCTGAAACACTGCCAGGGGGATCAAGAGACCTGTCAACCTTCCCAGCATGACAGATTGAACTGTACTGGATCTGAAATAGGTGACCCCATGCCAACTCCTGGCTTATTCCACTGGAGCAGGTCGCTGGCCAGGGGAAACCCCTTCTGTCATGCCAACCCTTCCAGGGGTTCTCCCACCCCAGGATGTCTGAGGTGCATCTCCTTCCCTCCTAAGGGATGGACACAAGACCCACTGACCAGGATGGCTCTGCTGTTTGTTCTCCCTCCCTGCATCACCAGGACGGGGAAGGGCAGGAGGACATGGACAGACCCTTCCCCATAGCACAACAAGGAATGAAATACCCACGGCATGGGCAGGGGGCCAGGCAGGACCCAGCTTGTGAGACCCTGCCACAACAACAGGAACCTCTGACAGCAGGAGAACATCACTTGGGAGTTCAGCTGGTTTTGGGAAGGTGTCTGCTGATGCACGACACTTCCCAACCTCAGGCAACCCCCCGTCCCCAGGGTCCGCTTGGGCAAGGGAGACGTGTCTCAGGAAGAAACCCTTCCTTCTGGCACTGAAGCTGCCCGTTCCCAGCCAGGCTGTGGCAGCCCCCACCCTCCGCTGCAGAAGGTACCTGGTTGGCAGGGTACGCACTCCTCCGATGCCTCCTGAAGAGCCTCTTGCCCACCGGGGCACGGCAGACACCCCCTGCAGCTGGTGGTGCTGGGGAAGGGAGAGGAGACAGACCACGCTGTAGGACAAGCACTTCCAAGACCAGCCCAGCCCACCAAAGCCAGCTCTCTTACATATGCACACACTGAAGTCCCCAAGGTCTACCAGGAGCTAAGCTTCTGCCATTTTGTGGGCATTCATGGTGTCTCTCTATAGCTTCTCCCATGTCTAATGAGGGCTGGGCACAGGATGGCATTTCTGTCCTCTCTTTGGGTACTTACTTGCATGAAACCTGTAGGAACTTGCTACCCAGAAGCCACTATTCCTTAATGAGCTTGGCTGGAACCGGTCAACAGGTAGTGAAGGGAGTTGGGAGAGAGCTGGGAGATACAGCCAGTAAGCTGGATCTGGTCTGGTGGCAATTTAATCAAACAATCAGCAGAGATCTGCCACGTAGCATGGACACAAGAGGCCAGAAGGAAGGTGAGTGTTCACATGCCAATTCAGCTGCTTTGGATATAAACCCCACAACTTCTGTGTGGGCATCCCCACACAGTGGGGTGTGGAGCCCATCACAAGGTACCCCACCAGCACCTCTCCCAGGCCCCCTCTCCCACCCCAAAGATGATGGCACAGCTGGGGTAGTTTAGCTGCTGCCTTCCACACATCCCGGCTCAGGATAAGCCAACCATCAGCTCAGCTTAAATCTACAAACCCCAGAGTGACGCTCAGCTCCATCCCTGTGCCAGCACCAGCCAGTTTATCAGCGGCATCCAATGCCCACACAACGCAGCAACGTTGGCAAGAGGGGATGGTGGAGGTGGGCTGCAAGCTGATGAGGCTCTACCATCTCATCCCAGGGTATCTCCACATCCAGCCAGGATCCTCCCCTCCATTTTACCATCCCTCTCTCACCCGGGAGGGCTCCCTTACAGCTCCCTCAGCTGAAAATGGCAGGTGACTTGCCTTTGGCCACTACATTGGGTCTTTTATCTCAGTGGTTGCTACCAGAAATAAACCAACCCTCCCTGCCTCCCTCACCCCCTGACAGCCAAGGTCACACGAGGACTTCTTACTTGCAAAATGATCCAGACGGGCAAGGCAGACAAAAAGATGCATTTTGCTTGGAGCTAAAATACCCTGAAAAAGAGAAGAGTAAGGCTTCAGGATCTTTCCTCCACCGTCACTGCCCCACATGGCTGGATATTTGTTCATCTCTATTTTACAAGCAGCCAAATCAACTCCCCACAACACACTTCAAGTGGCATCTCATGGGCTAATTCAGGATGCTTGGGCTTTTTATTTGTCAAAAGCCCTGAAAGAGCAATCAAAGTTTCATAATGACCTCTGCCGTGCTCTGAGGGAAGCACGGGGAGCTTGGACAGATTTCCCTGGTGTCACTCGCATCTGAAACACTGCCAGGGGGATCAAGAGACCTGTCAACCTTCCCAGCATGACAGATTGAACTGTACTGGATCTGAAATAGGTGACCCCATGCCAACTCCTGGCTTATTCCACTGGAGCAGGTCGCTGGCCTGCTTCTGCCATGCCAACCCTTCCAGGGGTTCTCCCACCCCAGGATGTCTGAGGTGCATCTCCTTCCCTCCTAAGGGATGGACACAAGACCCACTGACCAGGATGGCTCTGCTGTTTGTTCTCCCTCCCTGCATCACCAGGACGGGGAAGGGCAGGAGGACATGGACAGACCCTTCCCCATAGCACAACAAGGAATGAAATACCCACGGCATGGGCAGGGGGCCAGGCAGGACCCAGCTTGTGAGACCCTGCCACAACAACAGGAACCTCTGACAGCAGGAGAACATCACTTGGGAGTTCAGCTGGTTTTGGGAAGGTGTCTGCTGATGCACGACACCGGTCACTGCCATGGGTCCATATGGGGCAGAATTAGGGTGCCTGTGTGCAGAGAGGAGCTGGGAGTGGAGTGGGTAAGATCTGCCTTCTCCCTTGAAACCAGCCCAGATCTGCAAGAAGCAGCCTGGGAGTGGAGTGGGTAAGATCTGCCTTCTGCCCTTGAAACCAGCCCAGATCTGCACCAAGAGGCTGCAGGAGAGCATCAGGAAAACAAAACAACCTCCCTCTCCCTGCAAGGAAAAAAAAAGGAACTTTGTAAATTTGTAATTGCGTGATTTAGGGGCCACCCCCACAGATTCCTCTGTGGTCTAACACGGTGATTGAATTTGCTGAGTAAGGGGAGTGACACACCACAGCGCTGTCACCAGTTCGGCTTCTTTCCTCCCAAACTCAGCAAGTGATAGCCAGGATTTCGATACCAGCCACTTTGGTGGGCGGATTTTCAAAAGAACAGTTGTGCATGTATAAGGAGCACTTAATTTGTGTACAGAATGGCTGCTGCATTGCATGTGTTAATTAGGTTTTTGCATAAGTAAATGCGGGTCTGTTTTGAACATGTTTTTACACTGTCTGTGAACACATTGTACCGTGCTCATATTGCAGTAGCCAGGTGCAAAGTAGCTCACTGCAAACCCAGTCTTTAACGTCTGGGCAATAAGGAGAATATTACACTTAATATTAAGACTGCAGAAGATTGCCCAACTGAAAACAAAGATGGCTTAAACTCATTTTTGCCATCAAAAATAGGGGAATACTTTATTTCCCTGATACTCTCCTCCCCCTTGTGCTATAACTGAATTTCATAAAGCTTCTTCCCTGACTTTCTGGAAAAGGCTCTCGTTGCAGGGTTACTATTATCTTGTTGCAAACAGAAGCATGACTAGGAGATCTGTTCTTTCCATTTTAATAAAAATGTCAATAACAGAAGTGGAAGAGATCTGCTATTCTATTTTTAGCCTGAACAAAATAACCTGTTTACTCTTTGGTGCTTTTAAGTTACCTGGTAATTGCATCTGGCCATGGGAAAAAAGCATCATGTAGCCTGATGAAAATGCATTTGGGTGGAATACAAATCAAAGCCTACCTTTCTCACATGCTCTGCAGGCTGCAGCCCCAGACTCATTAGCGTAATTACCGGGTGGGCAGGGAAGGCATGCGGTGCTCCTTGTGAAGCTGGGAGAGAGGGAGCAGAGGTGAGTGCTATTTTAGTTCACCCGAGCCTCCATCCACTTTAAGAGGAGAGAGCAGAGCACAACTCCTTGTTTCACTAACAAGCCTGGAAATAGGGTAATTATAATAAAGGAGTTCAGGCAGAAAAACAACAATTTGAACTCGCCTGAGTGTTAAAGGTCCACTAAAAAAAAATGTTAACATTAGAGATGCGCTGTGCTTGTGGGCTGTATGGAAAGGGATGGGTTTCCGAGACTGAATTGGCAACTATGTTGTACCCAGGCTTCAAAACCTTGGTTTAAAGTCAGGGTTTTAAATCCATGCTTGGAAACTGAATTGAATTGGAAAGGTGCTTCATGATCAGCATCCATCAGCAATTTTAAAAGGAGGCTGCTCCATTGTCAGGTCACTCTGGAGTCACAAAAATGAGCGAAACCACAGGCACTGACGTGTGAGAGTCCTGACCTTAAATAATAGGGACTGTGGGAAAGGGGATATAATACTTTAAACCTTCGGGATGAGGGGGAGGAAAAGAGGGAAAGGCAGAGAGAAAGAGGAAAGCTTTGCATTCATCACCAAATCCCCAACAACAAGCATGTGGGTATAAGAATTTGTTAACATACTGAGGGATGCTTTGGAGGAAAACAAGGACACGCTCTTTAGTTCCTTCAGAAACCCCAAGGCTGAGTGGGATTTGTGGAAAAAAATAAAAATCAATTGGAAACATAGCTTTCCTTAAAACAAACCAATACAGGGCCTGTGCCAGCCGGATCCGCTGAAAGCTCAGGGGAGCCTGGATTCTCTGAATACCACAAAAATGTTAAACGATCCCATCAGAGCCCTGAGGCTCAGGCAGCTGCCATGGAGATGGCCATGCACACGCTGGACCCCCTCCCCTCCACCTCCCCACTTCTCCTGGTTCTGCCCCCCAGCCACTATATGCTGACCCTTCCTTTCTGCTCCCCAGTTCCGCCTTTCCATCTCCCACATCCCACCAGCAGCACTGGTGTGGTTCCCAGGAGACTGCTCCTGGTTGGTTTGTTTTTTAAAGCCCTTGGGGGGGTAAATAAGGTAAAGGCAGGTCCCCACAGCACAAACAGCAAGAGGGGAGCATGGAGGAGAGAGCTGGTGGCCTCTCAAACTCAGGGGTTGCTGTGAACAGGCCACCCTTCCCCACAGCCAGGTTTTGACCCCTCTCCCCAGGTCTGATCCGAACGGAGCTGCCCTGTGAGGGAGATGGTCGTGGGAAGCTCTCACCACCCCTCCTGTCCTTGCAGCCACCTGAAGGACAAACCCCACTGCTTGCTTGCAGAAGACATCGGCTACACCAAGGGAAAACAGGATGGGGAATGGTGAGAGCAGCACGAGTGGGTGTCTCTGCAGCCAGAGAACACCTCCCTGGTGTCCCCAGGAGAAGGCAGCCTGGGGAAACTGCAGGGCTGGGCTTCTGGCTGGGGTGTCTTGTGAGCTTTTCCACACCATATCAGGTAAGGGTGCTGCTTTAGTTGCCAGCAGCTTTTATGTAACAAGACCCCTTGGAGGTGACAAAATAGAGACTGAGGAAGTAATTGGGCAAAGTGCAGAGATGAAGCCAGTTGGGCAGAACCATCCCAGAGGAAAGCTGCAGAGGTGAACCCGCTTCACTCTCAGTTGCCCCTCTGTCACAAAAAAAAACGTATTCTCTCCTAATACATACAAGAGACCATGGAAAAAGAAAAGGGCAGCCTCCCAAGAGCTGGAGCCAGCTGCTGGGAAGCCCACAGCACAAGCTCACCCCCACCAGGGTTTCCTGAAGGGAAAAGTTCAGCAGCACTGAAGAAGTGCACACCTTCCCACCTCCACCTGCCCCACGGGGACCTCATTTAAAGTGCAGCCCGAAGGCAGCCTGGGGCTTTCTCCAGGGTTTGGACCATCTGTAGGTTAGTTTAACAGGCACGTAGCTATTTCAACTTTGCAGCAAATGAGCTCCTGGCCCCTGTTTGCCACAAAGCCCTGCCAGAAGCTGGGGAGCATGTGGCCTCTCACCACCACCAAGTGTTTTCCACCATGAGTGGGTGGCGGGGGAGCAAGCCCTGAGCTGCTCTTCCTCTCAGGGAAGCAAAACCCCATGCTTCCCATGGAGAAACCACCCTGGCAACACTTTTCCCTCAGCCCAAGGGAGGAGATTTTTGCTGGCTGGGAAGTGTTTTGAGGGAGAACATCCACCGCCCCGTGCCCCTGGGCTCCATCACTTACTTGGCATAATGTCCCTGTGGACAAGGCAGGCATGACAGTTGCCCACTTTCGGGCTGGTAGTGGCCCAGCGGGCAGGAGGTGCAGGCACCAGGGTCTGTGCACGAGCCCCCAGCACAGCACGAGCAGCTCAAGGTGCCTAAATGGGAACAAAAAGGTCAGGATCAGGACTGGGAGACTGGACTTGTCAGGACTTGCAAAGGATGTACAGCGTTGGGTTGCAACCCCTCCAGCAAGACAGTCCTGGGGGGTAGAAAACTGTGATGTTAATGCTAATGATGCTGCTGTGCATCGTTAGCAAGCTGAAGAACACCCATAAAGTGATCTAAGGTCTGCAGTCAATCCGTGTGGATTTCTGGTAATTAAGATGACTGCTTTTTTCTCTTAATTTGAAGGGCTAGGAGAATTTTCCTTGTTTTCCCTCCAACGCACAGACAAAAAAGGAAAAAACCCACCAACATACTCCTTCAGATTTCTGATGTCAGGCTGGAGAGAAGCAGAACTGAAGAGTAAAACCCCAGAGCAGAGGATCTGCCTTTAAGCAGCAACAGCTTTCCTTCGAGCAGAGGTACCGTGGCATTCCCACCACACTCAAGCTCTAGCCCTCTCTGCTCCTCAAAACAAATCCAAGCTACACAGAGCGATTGTGTGGGCTTTGCTGTAGCTGCAAACATCAGACCTGCCATCCCACGGCTTGCAGGAGCCAGTCCCTGGTGCTGCAGCACAGGCAAGAGGAGAAGATCCTGTGGATGAACATCCTGCACACAAGAGCAATGGGAATTACCCCCCTGTCCTCTGCAGATTTACCCTAAAGCGTCAGAGCTGCTTATTCCTCGCTTTAAAATTGCCCTGCAGTGAGGGAAAGAAGCAAAAAGTACATGGCTTGTATTTTAGGGATTTGGAGGGGGGGATTTTTTGGGGGCTGGTGTGGTGATGTTTAAAAAACCCGAACCAACCACATTACAACACACAAATAACTTCTGAAAAAGGTAATAGTATGTACTCGTGACCACAACAGAGAAACCAGGTGGTTTCTCAAGCCCAAGTGAAAAGGCTGTTTCTATAGCAGAGATTCTCTTTCAAACATTTGAGACAGACAGTTGGAAGCTGTCCTTATATTTGGCACTGTACCTCAAAACAACATCCCCCTCCCAATACATCAGGTTGCACATGTCTTACGCTTTACAGCCACAACCCTACTGCTTCTTCACCCCACTGGGGAAGCCTCGGGAAGACCAATGAACAACACGAGGCCAGGAAAAACCAAGTCTTTAACCTCAGAAAGGTGCAATGATTTAACTCCCACTCCTGCTGCCTGTCCAAGCCTCCAACATGGGAACATGTTCTGGTTTTACCTCCCTTGAGAAGTCACTTTTCCACCAAACACAAGAGCCAGGGTGAGCAGGGACTCCTACCTTCATTGGGAAATGTCCCTGGGGAGCAGCTGGCACAGGATGTCACGTTCACTCGGCTGCAGTTTGAGGGCCTCGTGGTGGTGAGGAACGGAACTGCTGATGGGACCCCAGGAGTTGTGGTCACACCTGGAGGGGATGCTGGGGTGCTGGTGGACGTGGTCATTAGTCCTGTAGACACTTGAGAGGTGGCCATGCTGCCAGAGGTGAGGACGGTCATATCTGTGGTGGTGGGCAGAGTCTGAGCTGACTCGTTTGTGCTTGGATCAGCAGAAGGCACTGCCGTGGACACAACAAGGTTTGCAGTGGTTGATGTCACTCCAGCCGAGAGCACTGTAGAGGCAGTTTGAGGCGTAGAGGCCGCAGTACTGGCTGCACTGGGAGGCACTGGGGTTGATGCAATGGGGACCTGGGTGGTGATTGTACTGGGAGGTGCTGGGGTTGATGCAACAGGGACCTGGGTGGTGGCTGCACTAGGAGGCACTGGTGTTGATGCAACAGGGGGCCAGGTAGTGGTTGTCTGGCCTAAAGCAATACCTAAGAGAAGAAAAAACATAATTAGTGGCCAAATTATTGTTCTTCTTTTAATGGAAGCTTCCCATTTGGTCTTTACTAACTGCTTAACCTATGTATCCTTGCTCCATGTCCAGAAACTCCTTCTGCTATGGTCCACTACAGAGCAATACAGAAGCAAGGAGGCAAACAACCTTGGTGCACCTGACCATCCCTGGCACACGAGAGTGGATGCCAATGTCCAGGAGTTCTGACTCTCCTAGATAAAAGGGCATGAGAGCTGCCTGAAACACTTGATTTTTCGTTAGCAGCAGCTCAAGACAGTTTACCCTGAGATCCCACAACAATACGATTTAAGATGCTTGTCGAGTAGCTGGCTGCTTTATCCCGTCTCAGTTAAAGGGATCAGCAAAGAAAAGTCATGGGTTTGGGATTTTCGTTTTTAAAGCTGTTCTGGAGATACATCCAGTAACCAGAAGGGAACCCGCAGGCCAAGACTCGCTTTGATTCTGAAATCCCCACCATCAGAGAGTGGGACAGCTGTAATTTTCAGAGAAAGGGGATGTTACTGCAGTTCCAGTTGTTTTGCTGTGATACGTAGTGGACTGAAATGCTACCTGCTGGCGAATGACATCTCTCAGCACACAGCCATGGGGGGTGTCTTCCGATCTCTGAACCATAAAACTCAGTATGAAAAGCAGCAAGTTGCTTTTAATTTATCAGTGTGGTGCTAAGCAAACAAAGCAAAGCAAAGGTCCTGCCACAGCAAATGTCACATCAGGTTGGGTCAGAAACTCAGGGCAGGGACTTATCCAGCTTCCTACAGCATCAGTGCAGGACTGTGGCTGATACACGCGCACAACCAGCACACCACTGCCACGCCACCACAGCAAGAGGGCCTGCTGAAATCAAGCGGCCCTCGGCAGGGAAAATACAAGGACTGATTGCTTGATGGGTTTCAAGGAGCCCAAAAAGCACAGTGGACACCTGACAAGGGAAGGTGTGGATGAGGAAGGACATGAGCAGGATGAGAAACCGGAGACTTGGAGGGGCCACACTGTTGAGTGGTGACAGCACAAGCACCGGGTGGCTGCAGAACCACAGGGCTCTGCAGGCTTTTTCCTAAGCCCAGTTCTCCCTCCGCCTTTGATTTCTCTCTCAGTTTGGGCTACACCACGTGAGGCCAAGCACCATGAGTACCCAAGCGCTTAGCACCACCGTGGTAGGAACAACAACATGCAGACCAAGTCGAACTAATAACTCTAGTTAAATTTCTACAGAAAGATCAGGACAGGGAATAAAAGAGTCCTTACAAAGTTGGGATCACATGGAGGGAGGGCTCCCTCCTGCTGCACACTGCTTGCTTTGTGCTCCCCAGGGGGTGAACCCCCACCTCTCTGTAACTACCGGGTAAAGCAGCAGATGAGCACCCAGCTGTCTGGGCCACTGCCCACATTCTCCTGCTGTAGCTCCCGAAACAGAAACGCTGAATTTAACAATGGTCTTTTTGTGGCATATTTGTTCTCCCCAGGCCCAAATCCAACACAAACCATTAAAATAAATAAATAAATAAGTCCAAGTGACCTGGAAACGCCAGTGTTGGTCCCAGGCAGGGAGAGCAGCTCTGCAGTACCCTCAGAAGACACTGCTACCGTGGCCATGCCTCAACCCAGGACTGAGATGCACAATTCTCCTCGTCTGACTTGCCTGCCTTAGGTGCTGAAATCAGTCTGCTTCTCTTCCCTCATGTCTGGCAACGAGCCACGTTGGTCCCAGGTTCTACTGAACTAATCTCAAAGTAAACACTAGCAGTAGGTCAAGGGCTCCCTCAGGTTCTCCTGGGAAAGGTTCTCAGAAGGACCGCTGGGATCAAAGTCTGATCTCCCATGGAGGTGCCTCTCCCCACCATTTGCTCAGCTCTGCCAGCCAGAGACACCACAGTGGATTTAAACACCTTGGACTCCACACAGATGGAGGAATTTTGTTTGTTTTTTTTAAAAAACATTTTTTTTAGTTGAGTATTGCCTCTTCGGTAAGGTTTCCTTGGTTGGCTGGTTCTAGTGCTAAATGGTGAGACTATTAAGATGGATTTTTTTATTTAAATTGAAAATATCTTTTGATAACATGTTACTAAAGTAGCCATTAAAGAGTTGCTTGCAAAACTTCAACAGCCTTCAGTAGCCAGTACTTCATAAACTCATTTAAACAACTTCTGGAGAAAAAAAAAGATATAGGCAAAGCTGGAAAAAATAGCTTTGACCGCCTAGTAAAATTGGGTGATGTCGTGTTTTACCAGTTATTGTATCACAGGTCAAACAATACTCAAAACAACCTTAGTTGTATCAGACCATTGTCTCTCCTGCACTTACACTGTCTATGATAGAACAGTGATTTTGCTTTTTAGAGAATTTTTTTGGTTTTTTTAGGCGCACTGTGAATTAGCAAGAGTATCTCCAGGGACACTTTGAGGACAGGTCTTTGTGTGATGCCTTGGTGTGATGTTTCACTCCAAGAGCCTTGAGGATGTCAGGTAAGGTCACTGGAGTCTTTACTCCAGAGTTAATCCCTCCTGGTGAGTAAAGCACACAGCCCTGCTGAATTGCGAGTCGCACAGACACTGGCCAGGAACTCACAAAATGCAGAAATAGGATGGACACTCCTTATTTTTGTTTCCGTTCATCTTGCACAAGCACACAGCCTGCCAGTCCAAAACACTGACCCTTTGAACCAAACAAAACCCAACCAAGTCAACAGCTGCAGATCTAGGTAAAGATAATAATTGTCTTTGGTGAATCCAACAGGTGAATAATTGGCTCCTGGATAAACAGGTGAAAAATTGGTCCTCAGGAATATGGTTTAGAGGTGTGGTTTTTTTGGTTTTGTGGGGGGTGTGTGTGTTTGTGTGTTTTGGGGGTTTTTTTGGTTTTTTTAGGTGAAAAATTGGTCCTCAGGAATATGGTTTAGAGGTGTGGTTTTTTTGGTTTTGGGGGGGGGGTGTGTGTTTGTGTGTTTTGGGGATTTTTTTGTTTTTTTTTTTGTTTTGTTTTTTGTTTGTTTGTTTTTGTTTTTTCAAAGAGCCAGCTAACAAAGCAGCCTGAGAATGTGAACATACTGGAGAACCCTCTTCCTTGAGGTTTATAAAAAAGCCATGAAGAGGCCAATGCAACTCCTCAGTATACAGACTAATAGGGGTCTATTTTTTCTCCTGTTTTTTTTTTTTTTTTCTTGGAAAAACAAGCTTTCATACTTAAAATGTTCAGCCTGCTGCCAAGACTGCATCTCTTTCAACACTTCTTTCCTTTCCTGCCTTCCTTCCCCCTCTCTTGCCCTGCCCTCCTGCAGCACCCCAAGACACTGAAGCCCAGGGCTTTCGCAATCCCCTTCATGGCTTTACCCACCCCGCTCCTCAGCCAGCGAAGAGAAAAGCCACTTCAGGAGGACTTACCTGTTAAACACGCCGTGGTGAAGCTCCAAAGCAGAGGAGAGGGCCAGGCACTCATTTTCCCCCAAGGAGTGACACAGCTTGTCAAAAGGCAGGACCAGCAGCTGATCTCCTGCGCCCAACTGTTTGTTCTCCTCCGGTTTTGTGCCCAATATCGTCACCTGACTCCGATCATGCGGCTCAGGCCAGTCAACCTCCCCCCAGCAACGCGGGGTTTTATGGTCAGAGACTGCGATAGGTCTTAAGACGTTACCGGCCTCCTCCAAGCGCGGGGTGAACTAAATCACGAGCAGAAGAGCAAATCTAAGCCTCTCCTCGCAGCACACAGAAATATGTGCAAGAGAAGCGTCGTGGAGGAAGCGATGGGCTCGTGGAGAGGAACGGGCAGAGCGGCGCAGGAGCCCTGTGCCTGGCTGCTGGCCAGCCCCCCGTGACCTCGTCAAGTGAAAGGATTTCATTTTTCAGACACCCAGGATTTCCTGCAAGAAGAAAAACAACTCCAGAAGAGCCCGCAGTTCAAAGCAGCTCCCCTTTTAACTGACACCAACTTGCTGTAACCAGAATTCTCCCTCTGGTGAGTGCAGAGCTTTCCCAATCAGCATTTAACCCCTGCCTCGTTGCCCCCAAGGTGTCCACCTCGATGCATCAAGTTGTGATCCGGACCAAACTCAACAATCCCGATGATGATGATTTTGAGGGGAGAATGTTAAGTTTAGTGAGGCCCCATCACCATTTTCCACACGTTATCCAGTGGTTGTTCTGCTTGCTGTTCGTGTCCTGAGGCCAGGTCCTCATGCTTGTGCCCGTGCTGCCCAAGGACACAGATGTCCCCGTGGTTTTCTCACCTGGCAGCCCTGCTTTGGAAGATTTCCCCCCCTCTATCTCCCTCTGCCCCCATGAGTTAGCACTCAGCATCGCTGAGCCTCCATCTGGATAGAAGATTACTTTTGTGCGTAGCTGAGGGCCACATCTCATGTACGTCACATCTTCCCCCAAATTCAGGTAACAGCTGGATACTCATGTAGGATTGTGGATGCTCAACAAGCAGAGCACGTTCAGATGAGCAGATCAGGCACTGTAACACACTGCCCATGTCTTTTATGCTCCAAAATGCTCCATAGAGCTCAACACGCTGAACCAACCGATATTACACTCTAACCCAAGGCTCTCCTCACAGCTGCTGAGGGCAAGGCCGCGATGGAGGCCTGACCTTCTCCTGCAGGGGAGCCGGCTCTCAACAGGACGTTTCTCACCTTGGTTTTATAGGTTGCAAAAGTCTTTGTGCCAGCTGTTTGATCTCGGTCTGTGTAAATAACACAAGGACCTGGTCCACCCAGACCTGTGGGAGGGGTGTGTCCATTGGGCTGAGGGTCTGCTGTGGTGGGCAACTTCTGCCTCAGGGTCGCTGCAGGCTGAAGCAGCCCTGAGCGCTGATCAAACACGGCCAGCCAATGGCCGGGGAGATCTAGTCTGCAAGAGGAGACAGATCTGGTGGCAGATTAGTCCCCTCCACACCATGAGCTGCACCCCTTTTTTGTGGAGAGCCTCCCCCACACCCCCAAGCCCCAGGAGCAAGTTAGCCATTTTCTGAGCAGCTGCAGCACACACACACTGGAAAAGCACTTAAGAAGTGGACACTGACACTCACCCCTGTGACCATGCATTCACTCGTGACTCCCAGCCTGACAGGTGGAAGGGAAATTGCACCTCAACCCCTTTCTGTGCCCTTCAAAGCCCCCTTCTCCTATGAGCCACCGGAGCCCATCTGGGGGCTGAGACAGGTTGTTTCCTCTCAACTGCTTTAGCAACTGGGCAAGTTGGAAATACTCTTCCGACTGGAGATGTCTGATGCCACTTCAGGGCAGAGAAGTGCTAATAGTTTAATTTATAAACTCCTGACCTGCCCTGGCTCATCCCTGTTGAGATTAAATGCTTTTGCTAGTTGGTTCACAGAGAATAAAAAGCAGTGTCATGGCTGATCAAAAGCAATGTCCCAGGCTGGCACGCAGCCTTCTTCTTGTCAGTTTGGTTGCTCTTCCGTGGGTGGTGAACCTCGTGTCCCCAGATAAACCAGACGCTGCCCTCCACCCTCAAAACTTGTCTGGCTCCGTACAGGGCAGAGGCAGCAGCGGTGACGTTTCTCCCAAGAACGTGACATCCCTCACGCACTGGCCTAGCCTGGAGAGGACAGCTGCCAGCCAAGCCTGCCCCAAACCACACCTCCATCCAAGCTGGGCAAGTGAAGGAAGTGTCCTTAGAGACTTCACCTGCTGAGGGCAGGCTTGGATTTCTGAGCTACTCGGGCATTACAAACCCAAGGGCCACCACAGGACTGTGCATCAACTGGCTGCAAGTCACCTGGGTGTTAAGATTTCCAAATGACCCGTCTGTTTACAAGGGGAGCTACTCATTAAATGAGAAACACTGGGCAGGAAGAGTCGTCTCTCAAACACCATCCCTCTCTGCAGTGTTCAGCATGAGCTGCACACACCCCAGCTTTTGTTAATTGGGATGGGACAGTAAGTGCCATGAGGGTGGAAGTCTCCAGGTGAGGTCCCACCTATAGGGGAAAGTAGAGAAATGCATGAGCTGAGAGTCGATGGACACATCCATCAGCCTGAAAATGGTAGCCACTAGATGAACCTCCCAGGTCAGAAAGTCCCTATTGACTACTAGCAGATGCAAGCAGAAAGACCACTTTTTTCTTGTATCCTTGGCCATCCACGGCTCCACTGTCACTGCCAGGGTCCCAGGCTGTACTGACACTTGCCCTGTTCCCATTATGCCAGAGGAAACAATGGTCCCCAGGGTCCCACAGGCAGCTGTTTGACAGGGCTGAGGTCCTTCAGCAGCATGTCCCTGCTTTGTACCCTGTTGGTGAGTGAGCATAGGGGTGCTCTGAGACACAGCTGGGCTGTGTCTATTGCCTGGGAAAGAGCGAGATGGCCAGAAAAACTGCTTCCAACAGGTGCTTCTCTTGGAATACAACTTCTCTTGGAATACAAGCCAAAGCCCTCAGCGCTCCTGAAGGAACAGGCACGCATCTGTGCTCTGGACATTGAAAGCTGTACCTGACCAAATGGCCATATGATGGCACCACAGCTTTGGACACACCACTTCAGAGTCAAGACCAAAACCCTCTTAACCAAGAGCAGGTAGTGCTGCTCTTCTCAAACTGCACCAGCAGGAACCTCCATCATCAGTGTTGCCTAGATGGAATAAATTCCTTCAGCTCCCTTTCGTGAGTTTTGTTAAGTATTAAAAAGTGCTACTGTGTTTCTTATGCGTTTGGATTTAGAAGGAATAATAATAATAAAGAAAGAAAGAGATAGCCAAAAGAAAGGTGTGGTGCTGCAGCAGAGATCTGATGGTTTATCCAACCACGATAATATAAGATCTAAGTCAAGAAATCTGTTTTCTTACAAGCAGCACTGAGTATCTAATTCTTAATTAGCACCCAGGCATAACTAATTAGCATCAGTTAAAAAGAGGGTCTTAAAACATTAAAAACTCCAAAACAGACCATTTGGGTCTTGAGTACAGCCAGTGTTGAGGATGCAGGTCCAACCCACCTCAAGCTCTAGGCAGAAAAATGATACAAATTGTTCAGCTGCCTTAAAGCAGAACGCACAGAAGAAAAGCAGGATTTAATGAAATAAAGGTAAAAGTGAGTAAGTGTGCTTATCTGAAAAGCAGCTCTCCAGGATCAGACACAGCTGAGACGCTAAGAGCCTTACCAAGCCAGGAAGGTCACTCAGCAGCAGCAGGAGACACGCTAACGCGCTGCCCATATTTTGCTGGTCCTGTGGGGATTTAAACCCCTGAACACCTAAGCTGAAGGTGTTGGGTTCCTGAGCAGCAACTCCCAGAGCAAGCCAACAACCTGCCTCCTTTCTGACAAAACAGTACCTAAAAGAGGATGGGGCCCTTCTACAGTGCTTCAGGACTGGGGGAGAAGAGTGAAGTCCGAGATGTTTTAGTTTCTGTCTAAAGGCATTAGGAACACAGGAAAGCTTCAGGACAGCATCTGATGCTAGTTTGTCTGGGTCTTCAAGAGGTTGATCCTCCATCATGAGAGCTAGTATGAGAGCAGCATCCTAAACATTAAAAAAAACCTACGTGCTTGTACCAGCTAAGTCTGTCCAAAATGTCTAGTGACACAGAGACTGCTAAAAATAGATGGGTCAGATTCTGCATAGGCCACTCTCAGAGGACAGGCAGGTTGGCACATACCTATTTGTGTGGAACGTATCCCTGAGTCACTCCTTTGGGCACCAGGAAACCTCTTTGACGGAGTAAGTGCCCTATGAATTAACACACAAAACAGGCATCTCAGCCTGTTCTCAAAGCTTTGGTGGCACCAAAGAGCAGTTCTACCAGAGCAGTTGACCTGGAACAGAATTCCCTTCCCAGCTCTTTGATAAGGTCAGACAGACACCAAAGAGAAAAACCTCCAATCATGTCTGGTGCTGCCCCAGCACAGGCAGGTGTGAGAGAGCTCTACACAAGGAACTGGAACGGGGCCAGCCACACATGTCCACCTAACGCAACACTGTACGGTAAGCCTTCATCTTTACCACGGGATAAACCAGACCATGGAAATGGTATCTCTGAGCATGAAAACAGTTTTTGGAGAAAGCAAAACACCCACCACCACACCAAAAACCACCCACCTTCCACAGCATTCTAAAATTGAGAGAGAAGCCATTGCTGAAATTCAGCTGAAGAAAGTGTTTAAAGAAAAAATTGGGTTTATTCCACACTTTTCATAGATACCTTGTGGGTCATTCACAGAACCCACACATGGCAAAACTTCCTCATACCATCAGCTCCAGGCTGCGGCTGGAGTCCTTCAGTACACACCACACCCCCCAATTGCAGAGACACATCACCCAAGGGTGATCAGCTTCCAGGGAATCCACTCAGAAAGCACGAGCAGGTATTTTGTTAACACATCCTACTCACAAACATCCTAACCATCACAACTAGTGTATGTCAGCTTTGAAATGTCAACTTTGAAATGCATCTATATGAGCAATGTGACATAAACCTAAAATGGATACACACTACCAGGGGAGTGGTACTCATCAACAATTCAACTGTTGGTACAATATGCAACTTGATTATTAAAAAGAGTATCAGTCTATCTCCTTAGAAAATCTAAATTTTTATTATACATACTGTATTACACTGAAAATACGTACCCAAAGACAATATTTTGAATTTACAACTGTACAAAAAAAAACAATAGAAAACATACGGGCTATGCTATAGATGTAACATTTTACAAAATGACAGTTCTTGTTAAAGGCACCAGATTCCCAGAGGGCTCTGGCTTAACATTTTTTAGTCTTTTTTTTTCCAGTCAGATCTTACTATGAAAACACAATTCATTCTTAAACTGTTATCATGTCAAAATCTCAAGCTTCTTCCATCTACACAAGTGGTCTGCACTTTGACACAACTTAGTGAGAGAAGTGACCAATTTCAAACCAAGGTGTCAAGCAACTACCGAAGGCTCCTCCCCACCGTACCCAGCACCCTCTGGC